GGGAAAGAACGTTACAAAATCAACAAGATGTTCTATGGCCTAATTAGGTCCAGCGAATAAAAAGGATATAATTACAGCATAACCAAGGAAATAATCAACAACAATAAAGGCAATACTATCATTATATCATTCAGAGCAATAACAAAGCACATTATCCATAATTCCATATCAACACAGCCTACAGTCATTGACAAATAAATGATCCTGAATCTGTTTCATAATTGGTAGTTGCATTGTTCTTTAGGAGAGGCAGGGAGGGGAAGTCATGACAGATAGTAACCATAAATTAAGACTCAGTAAAGACTAAAAAACAACCTAGTGCCATCACCAATCTGTGATCTGAAGATTCTGTTTGTCTGGACTTCAAGCTGCCCTGACATATTTCTGCGATCATGTAATTGAATGTCTAACTGCAATAAATGGAGCAATACAAATAAACACTGAAGTGAAAACTCATTAATGCCCCCTCCCCTCAAAGAAGAAGTCCCACCTCTAACTATGTTTGGATTTTTTCCATTAATGGAACGGAATGGGACAAGTAGGGATAAACTGGACAGCGAGGGGAAGGAATGGAACAAAGCTAAGTTTCCCTTTGTTTCATAAGATTAATAAGGGAAAGGAACCTTTGAGTTCCTCCCATTCCAACCAATTTTCTGGGGAACAAAGGGAAAATTAATCCTCTTGAATTCCCCTTTCCCTCATTTCCTTTCTGTTCCCTAATTATATGCAATCCAAACACAGATAGATTACTTAATCAAGGTCTGAGACTGCATAAAATAAAACTTCTCTCAGCTACAGCAGAAAAATAAGCTAAAAGGCTTGAGAAAATACCATTACAAGGAGATGCCAAACTCACCTTTGACGAAGACAGAAATTTATATATGGCACTCTGACATGAGATGAAACATAATAGAAGCAATGAAATAACAGCATATTAGATAACTAATCTGAAATTGATCAACTACTAAGTATGAAGCAATATCATACCTGTGGAACACTATTTAAATCCCCAGCAATAATAACAGGGATGTTGCCCCATTCTTGCGACAACTTGTAAGCTTTATCAAGTAAAAGTCTGACCTATTCATTATTTCATGAAGCAAGTTCCCAGAATCAATAAAATAGATCAGGCAACTTAATTAACTACAGACAATTAAATGCATTTTGTTTGAGTGAAATAAAATGATTTGCACGAAACCTAGCTGAGAAAAATAATATTAAAATAATGAATCACATGCACAAACACAAATGCCTGTACATGCAAAATCAGTATAAGGCTACCCATCTAGTTAAGAAAATTCAAGTACCTGGCCCAGTTTGATGTCACCACGATTTGGGTTGAACAGCACATGTATATTTCCTACTACAAATCTTCTTTTTCCAGAGGATGGCGCCCTATAGATGTAGATAAAATTAGTTACCAAGTGGAAAATATAAAAAATCATTGGCCAAGAAATAGGCACCATGTGTGTGTGTCTGAGCATATGTGGATGAATACATGAGTGTATATATTATTTTGAAAATTTTCAGTTTTAAAGGTTTTAAGAAGAGATAGGAGTTAGGAATTAGGAAATAATAGAAACTATTCACAAGTTGGTATGCAATAATTTAGTATACATTAGTAAATTAGTAAATACTAAATAGTAACCACTCCAGGATAATGGAATAGAAATACTCCAAGTGGTATGCAAAAGATATGTCACAGACAACAAATAATTGTGTTCATATTACCATTTTAGACATGTAAAGCTTACATTGTTGTTACGTTACACGAGTCAAATTCTTTTTTATCATGGTTTGCCTGTAAATTGATAATGAAACAAAGAGTAATAAGATATAAAAATAAAACCTAAAACAACTGGTTTCATTGCAGCAATAACACATGTATACATACGAGGTAAAACAGAATTTTGGGTGGGAGGGGGGAGAATTGCATCACAGATGATAGATTCTTCCGATAAAAAAGAACAAAACAAATATAAAACATAGGAGGGAAACAACTTAGCAAAATAAAAAACAAAAGCTAAATACCTCAAAAACACAAAGCTGGGCAACATTATTACGCATGCCAAATCTTTGGAACTCTATATCTTCTTGATGCAAAAGATTGAATCTGCATTCACATTCCAAAATATACTTTCAATTGGCAAATTCGGAATTCAATAATTTCTTAATTTCTATGTTCTATTAGCACATTTTTGAGCTATTGATATTTTGGTGCTTCAAGGAATACTTAGGCAGCTCATTTACTTATTGGCAAAGGTCAACAATGTAAGATATTCAATAAACATTTTTGAGCTATTGATATTTTGGTGCATCAAGGAATACTTAGGGAGCCCATTTACTTATTGGCAAAGGTCAACAATGTAAGATATTCAATAAATTGATTAAAATAGGACACAACAACTCAATTACTTAAATGATTTATGGGTAAGGAAAACCTACAACTTGTCTTTCCAAAATACAGCACATCCATCTTGTGCTTCCCCTGTGCGAGCCTATGACGAATGAAAATAATAACCCAGATAAGCTACTTGATTAAATATTTGGAGTTTAAAACTTAAACTATAGTTTAAATATGTACGAAATATACCTTGTAAACACCTTTAAATCCACTGTTTTGGAAAAGATCATCCATATCATTAAACTGATCAACCTCCTTTAAACACAAGATTTATGAGAAAACAATTATTGACAACTCAATTCTACGATGCATGATGTTAGCTTACAATTTCAAGCAGAGAATAAATACTAAATTGGGTAAATTAAGAAGTTTGTTTGGGCAAACTGAAATTAACACCAGCATAACTTGTATGTCATGAAATCCTATAATGTTACATGCTTAGAATATTAGAGTCACAATCCCCCTTGTCATATGAATACATGTAATCAAGAGCTATAGCTAAATAAAAAACTATGTGTTAGTTATATCTGTATCTTTAGCTCTTCTTTTCCACCTTTCAAAGCTTAAAAGAGATGCATAAATCCTAAAGACAAAAATGGTTGCAAGTTTGTACCAAATAGTGTTGCTACTCAATGCATAACACCAGGAAGGACTGTTATTAAACTACCTGGAAACAGAGTATGCTGGCATTATAGTTATTAATCTCTTCAAGTATGAGCCTTTTCCGCCTGTTCCACTCCAAGAAACTATGTGGAATATTAGAATACAAATCCAGATGCTTTGATGCATTTTCAACACCAAGTATATTGTATGAAACAACCACAACCTTATCTGCAAGGGAAGGAAAGGCTCAGAATAGTAAATGAGATAAGCACAATTTAATCTAAAGACTAAAGACTAAATGACACAGTTAACATTGACACCCAAATGTAGAGTAAGGTATTAGCTATATCCATCACGGACTGTTAGTTAATAAGGAAAAAAAATATACCCATAAGCAAGCATATTCCATCTTGTTGATAAATGTATCACCCCACTCCTAAAGTAACTGAAAATTTGTGAGAAGGCACAGACCAAAATGTATTTGTATATGTAGAATGGCATCTGATAATTAAATTATCCAGTTTTGAATATTAGATGACAATCTTTACCAGAGAAATGTAACACAAAAATGCTAACCTTCTCCATAAAAGGAAAATGACCACAACAAACTGTATTAACTGTTCTACTAAAAATCAGATGAAAACACAAAAATACACATGCACATGTGCCCACGTGTTTGATGAATTTGGATGACATTTGAATCCATAATTTCATGGTGAAACAAAATTTGGATGACATAAGTGTCAGTGTTCCCACCCCCCCCCCCCCCCCCCCCCGCCAAAAAAAAAGAAGAAAAAGTAGACAACATTATTGTAACTCTGACCCATGCAGCTGAGGTGTTCTCTGTTTTGATGGATAACAATAACAAGTGCTTAAATTTTATGGTGGAGGACTTCCACGGTCGTTACCTGCCATGCCACATAGATGATGATGGTGGCAGCACGTGAAATTATCTAGATCTAAGACTTAGCATTCACTCTGGAAATCAGTTATTGCTTCACGGGGACATAGTAGGGTGTCATTGATACATAACTATTTTGCATCACCTTTCCATATCATTATGTAATAAGCATTTATAGAGAGAAACCACGCAGAACACACAAATAAGATACCGTTTACGCGTTTACTAACTGTCACACTCACACACATTAACTAAATCAAACGCCTCTTCCTTTTACCTAAACCCTCCATCACATCAATTAAATTCCTCAATTATTCAAAACCTGATCTAGGAATCCATCAATATCTAGCTAAGTTAATCAATTGTACATGGCTTTTTCTACATTCAAAAAGGGATGCAAGATTATATATATCGGTTTGAATTGAACCTTCTCTCCGCTCTCATCTTCTCACTTTCACACACAATATTAGACAAAGGGAACAGAATTGGCAGTGAATGCGGAATTTGAAAGTGAAGTAGAAATCAAAGTAAGGATTATAGAGAAAAGTAGATAGGTTAGACATGCTATGATTCTGACCGGTGCAATTGGAAGAGTCTTGGGAAGATAAAACCCATCTACGACGGCATTCGAAGTGAGAACGTGTTCTTCGCTTGGACGGAGAATTTTCCGGCGAATGCCTCCCGCGCTTGCGCCGCACCATGTTTGCTCCGGAAACCGCTGCTTGATTCCGTACCTATTAGTATAAATTGCACTCGTCGTCTTTTTCTTATTATTATTTTTCTTTACTATGTATATAAATGTAAGGTAGGTGCTTATTTAGAAAACTAAAAATTTTATCAAATAGATAATGCAAATAATAAGATATAATAAGCTTTAATTATATCAAATCTTTACTTCATATTATACTATTTTTTTTAGTTACTTTTCTTAATTATAAAAAGATATAATTATTATTCAAATATTTTTCTTTAAAAACTATATATATATAATATAATATAATATTATGTTAAATTAAATTGTATCTATAATATAATATAGAGAGAGGGAAGAGAAAATGTCTATCTTATCTTATTATGTCCTAGATTAATTCTCATTTTATGATAAAAAAATAATAATATATACTTATCAACAAAATAATGATATAAAAGGTTGGATAAGACTATATATAAGGTTGGTACCACAAATAATTGATTAATTATAATATGATTAAATAATTATCCTATCTTATTACGTTATATCTTAAGTTTTATTATCAACTTTTATAAAATGAGTATCAGAGGGTAAAAAGTAATTTAATTATTAAAAAAAATAATTATTAATATTTTATGTATATCTATACTAAATCAAATGTAACGAGAAGTCAAAAAAAAAAAAAGAAGAAATTTTTGTCAACCCTACAAAATTTGAAGTTAAAAAATAACTAAATTAACAAAATAAGGAATGAAATGTTAAAAAATTGGATATGTATTATAATAAGCTCAGAAAAGTTTAACCAAGTCGAGAGCCGAGACATCACACAAGCCCAATTCCAATGGTCTTCAAATATTGAGTTTTTTAATTTTTCATTTGTAATTGAAATATTTATAATGAATAGGTTAATTAGCTTATAGAGGTTTGAGTCAAGTGGTTTAATTAATGAGCATTTACAATGGGAGTTGCTTTCCCAACCACTTAAAATGGGTTCCACGTGCCACGTCACTCATAAGCAACTCATACTATATTTTTACAATTTTTGCTCCAATGAAAATTTCTTATAAGCACCTCAACTTTTTTACAACTCATACTACACTTTTTGACACCTCACATTATATTTTATGATAATTTTTTTATAAAATTAATTATTATGAATAATATATAAATATAAATAATTAATAATTAAAACAAATTATATAATTAAAAATTTTCAATAATAAAAAAATATCAAAAATTTTAATAATAAAAAGAAATTACATAATAAGATAAAATATAACAAATTAAAAAAGTTAATAATTAATTAAAACTAGTATTATAATCTGTGTTTCCCTGGTTAAAAAAGGTAGATGCATTTTAGCCAATCAAATTTGTCTCCTAAGTGCTAAGCACCGTGCCTTGTAGAAGCAGCACAGGAAATTTTTTAAACAACCCAGGTGACATGTAGGATCACTCCAATAAAGGTTTCTAACAAGCACCGTTGCTTAACAATAAGCAACACAGGAAGCACCTCCCATTAGAGGTGCTCTTAGAGAAACTACACTTTTTTGCTCCAATCACAATTTCGTGTAATCTAGAATGTGGAGAAGTTTCATGCATTCCAAAGGAGATATTGAAAGCCAATGCATAAACATTTGAGAGGGAATCGGAAATTAAATTCGTGTTTTTACATTGTGTATCATATATGCTGATTTAGGAAATTTGCATGAGACATGTGTAAGTTTGTTTCATTAAATGTTATTGTATGTGTTAGACAAAATTAAGCTATTATCACACATAATTTATTTATCGGTAAAAATATTATATTAAATTATATTGTATAGTTGACTTAATTTTATGTGAGTGATATTATAAGTGATTTCTAAGAACTAAATAGTTTTTTTTTTATTTTTAAAAAAAGCATATGACTAAATATATTAATTTTAAATTTAAAAATTAAAATTAAATGTATCCTATATTTGTGAGAATAAAAATATTTAAACTACACATATAATCTATGATCTATTCATTGATAAACTAATTAGCTCATAATTTTATTACTAATTTTAACCATGAATTTATTAATCAGCAAGCTAATTAATTAATTTAAGTTTTGACACCTCACATTATATTTTATGATAATTTTTTTATAAAATTAATTATTATGAATAATATATAAATATAAATAATTAATAATTAAAACAAATTATATAATTAAAAATTTTCAATAATAAAAAAATATCAAAAATTTTAATAATAAAAAGAAATTACATAATAAGATAAAATATAACAAATTAAAAAAGTTAATAATTAATTAAAACTAGTATTATAATCTGTGTTTCCCTGGTTAAAAAAGGTAGATGCATTTTAGCCAATCAAATTTGTCTCCTAAGTGCTAAGCACCGTGCCTTGTAGAAGCAGCACAGGAAATTTTTTAAACAACCCAGGTGACATGTAGGATCACTCCAATAAAGGTTTCTAACAAGCACCGTTGCTTAACAATAAGCAACACAGGAAGCACCTCCCATTAGAGGTGCTCTTAGAGAAACTACACTTTTTTGCTCCAATCACAATTTCGTGTAATCTAGAATGTGGAGAAGTTTCATGCATTCCAAAGGAGATATTGAAAGCCAATGCATAAACATTTGAGAGGGAATCGGAAATTAAATTCGTGTTTTTACATTGTGTATCATATATGCTGATTTAGGAAATTTGCATGAGACATGTGTAAGTTTGTTTCATTAAATGTTATTGTATGTGTTAGACAAAATTAAGCTATTATCACACATAATTTATTTATCGGTAAAAATATTATATTAAATTATATTGTATAGTTGACTTAATTTTATGTGAGTGATATTATAAGTGATTTCTAAGAACTAAATAGTTTTTTTTTTATTTTTAAAAAAAGCATATGACTAAATATATTAATTTTAAATTTAAAAATTAAAATTAAATGTATCCTATATTTGTGAGAATAAAAATATTTAAACTACACATATAATCTATGATCTATTCATTGATAAACTAATTAGCTCATAATTTTATTACTAATTTTAACCATGAATTTATTAATCAGCAAGCTAATTAATTAATTTAAGAATAGATTTATTGGTCCATTTAAAATCTTAATGTAAATTAGATATATATTTAAACAAGTTAATAAGTTAAATCAGACTCATAAAATATTAGACTCTTGAACTGCAAAATTATATAATAGAACATGCTAAGATTAGATAAAACTATTTTTACTTGATATATAAAACCTCCATATCATTCAATGTACATCAATAGTTGTACAATAACTAATCTCAACCATTGGTTTGTCCACTGAAATTGTGTGATATAGTTATTTGAAATGATAGATTTCTCCTTATTTAACAAATGAAATATATCATGAGTTGTTTGATATTCTTAAATCTTAATTATATATAATAATAATCAATATTAACTAACCAACAATTAATTCCCTAATAGTAGCAATCACTTTTGAATTACCTACACTAACACATATACAATCATATCACATGTGGATAGATCATTATCCACTCCACGTGTCACAAGTCCAGACAATTTTCATTATTGACCTTATGCGTGAATTAATTGTGCTTCGACAAAAATAAAATTTTCAATTTTTGGCTTTTCGACATACATATCCCTAAATTTTTTTTTAAAAACAATTATGTAATTAACTGTAAAATCTCGGTAGATATTAGATACTTCGTGCTCATATGAATTGACAAGCAAAATATCATGAAAGTACTAGCTAGTAAGATGAAATAGTTTAAAAAATAAATAAAATTGAACTGCTTTTAGAATGTAACTATAAATGATTTTAAATTATAATTGCAGTCGCAGTTACTATGCTGTTAATTTTAAGTGTGTTTAACTTATAATAGTTTGATTTGTGAAATTGCAAGTAAAAATTGTTGACATGACACCGTATCAAATTAGGGGTAATGCTGTTGCAAAATACTTAAATCTTGTAATTTTACAGATCTTCGGTCCAACATTTAAAACCACGATGTTTAAAATTATTTGAAATTTTTCTCTTGATTTTTTAAAAATAAACAAGTACTTAAATTTGTTTACTCGATTGTTAAAAGCAAAAAATTTCTTTTTTTTTTCAAATTTAATTTAGTTTTCAAATACTTTGTTTTCTCTTTATAATAAC